CCCCCCACATGTGTAACATCTGTGGACGACCCTGCCGGTCCCGTATCTGCCTCTTTAGTCACCTCAGAACTCACCAACCTTGGTGACATCCTCAATAACTCATATCATTCTATCATAACTGGATGATCGTCATACTCGCTTCCGAGTGACAGCAAAGTAGTAGGAGTAGTAGAGGTAGCAATTCACGATGAGTTATAGTATGTACATGATTGTCATCAGCATAGCCGATTGTGATATTGCTGGAACTGTCCGGCATTGAATTTAATAACGCATTCATAAGAACACTGAACAGAGGGGGACTAGGTACTCCAACCTGCTCATTGTTTGTAAGCCTGCACTGTTTGTACACTTACATTGTCTTTCATATTATCTGCATACCTATACTGTCTCTGTAAATTGTTTGTATACATGCACTGTATATATATATATATATATATATATATATATATATATATATATATATATATATATATATATATATATATATATATATATATATATATATATAATTGTCTGTATACCTACACTCTATGTATATTGTTTGGATACTTAGAGCGTCTCTGTACATTGTTTGTATACTTGCATTCTCTATGTACAGTTCCGATCAGAAGTTCGCTTTACACCCGCGGTGGAGGGCACATAGCCCGCTGCTTAAAATAGGGATACTTGCCGATTAGAGACAACTTCAGTGTATTTATCTGTTTGGGGAAACCTCTGACTGGCCATAAGTGATCATGTAGAATATTGTTGGCCATAAAAATATATATATAAATGAAAAGTTTCGTACCTAACCTAACCTAACCTAACCTACTATAGGTATAATTTTGCTATATTATGAGCTCAACACCATACTTGTCAATACTGCAACTAACTTGACTCTAAACTACTGATAATTGTCAAGGAGTTCGTTTCAAAACTCACAATAGATTTATTAACCTCAGGTACAGTATACAGTATTATGGAAGAAAACCTTCTCTTAATATAGCCAGATTAGTTGACCTAGTTCTGCCCCCCTTCGTTGTTATATTAACCCTGAATATTGTGTTTTAATGATGGATATGTAATTAATTCCGTGCCCTGTTTTTGAAAGGAAATAACAATTAATTGAACAAGTCATTAAGGCTCAGTAGTGTACCAACTGTCCACCACACGACAGTAGAGTGTACGAGCGTTGACCAGACCATCATGGAGGTAAGGCAAAAATATATAAAAAAAATTTCAGTTCAAATTCAGCAAACTAACTCATGGATCACTCTGATATATTTACCGTTCAATCAATCCAATGTTACAGGTAAGACCCAAGTGAATACCAGAATTGGTTTAATTACATAATATCGTTGAATTAGTACAAACAGATGGGAAATAATGTGTACAGTAATTAACACAGGTTAAGTGAACTCACAAACAGAAACACTTTCACACAAAATACGTCATAACCGATTACATAGTTTCTCTCTGGGTTAAAACACAGTTAAACCAAATAACAGGGACAGAACGAGCTGTCATATGATCAAGGCCCGTGCCAGATACCGTGTCAGATACCGTGCCCTCCATTAATCTCAGGTCATCACGAACCAATATTGAATAGACACTCACATATGGGGCCGGTGACGTGTGTGTTCTCGCAACATGTAACACTGCTACACTGTGCTCGCCTCTTCAAATATTACATGTACAATTAGAATGATAACAAACAAGAGTTAAACATTCGTACGATTATTGATTTTTGGAATGTACCAAATAAACCTTTGATAACTTCGAGTATTGGAATTTATGAGAATATTCAACATTCCACAGCATCATCTTCATCTTAGACCAAAATCACAGGGCATCGACTAGTGTGACCATCTCATATAATGATCCATTCTGTTGTCCCCAGGGAACTGTGTTTACTAGTGCGTCCGTCATCGCTACTCTGACATTCAGGTTTCACAGTTGACCCACGCAGCTCAGGGGCTAGTTTATAGGGCACTCCCCTTACATCCTATGCAAGACGAAGTGCAGAAGTTAATAATATTACATCCAAATGGGAAACAGTTAATTTTTTTTTTTACGGGGATTAGCCCACCCGAGCACTGACCCAGAGCGGGGCCTGGTGGGCGAAAATGTAATAATAATAATAATATTAATAACATTAATTATACTACTACTACTACTACTACTACTACTACTACTACTACTAATAATAATAATAATAATAATAATAATAATAATAATAATAATAATAATAATAATAATAATAATAATAATAATAATAATAATACTGCAACAATAATAATAATAAAGAACCATAAATAAATACAAAAAATTAAAATATATATCAAAAGTGAGAAACAATGTATGTATGTTGTGTTGTCAATAGTAAGAGAAACAATTGAGACTCTGCAATGTTGAGTTCATGCTTACCTTTTTTACTTCATGGCGTGAGTACCTGAGATGCAATTGGCTGAGGTCCTTCATTCGCAACTCTCAGGTCATCATCGAAGGGTCAAGGATCATAATATTTATCGGGTGGAGACTCGTGGAGTACCATAAGGCAGTGAAAAAGAGTTCATTAAGACTTATGTTTATAATTACTGGCCTTTCAACACATAAAAACCCTCACTGAACGCAGCAAATCAATAAATTTCATCGAAAAAGCTGAGAAATAAAAAGTTATGTTAATCTACCCAATAAAAAGACCAATAGATTCACTATCTCACTCTACACAACTTCTCTGCTTAGTGTTAAGTTGTCATGACTGGATATAAACATTTTTGTTGAACTGTTCTTGTTCAACATATAACAAGTGGCAGGTTGAACAATGAAAATTACAGGAAACAACTCAGATTTTCCCGGAATATATTAATTACATTTTATGAGTGAAGTCATAGTTTAATTTTATAATCTTGTATGGCATCCAAGACTCAGAGTAAATAAAAATTAAAATAAGTCTACACGTTACTAGAATGCTTTTTTTTTTTTTTTTTCAAATTTTCGACATACAATACAATGCTGTGTCATAGGATGGACAAGGCAGCGTTAACTAACTCTAAAACATTGTGTCGTATTTATATCCATGATTAAATTCCACTAGTTTATTTATTATATCATAAATGATTGTTGCAAATGTTGTCTTGTTAAACTCCTGTGCATTGTCTTTCAAACAGTAAGCAGGGACTCATTACTAGACGACGCGAATCTATTAATAAACTCCTGTACAGACGCTCATACGTGCACATTTCTCCTAATTGATCTTTGTCAACATAGTGACTTTCAGCTTGGCTATCTTGGCTCGCAACAAACGCCACCCAGTATACAGACACGGTCCCTATTCCTTACCGCCCAGCCACATTCAGTGTGTCCGTAGTAGTTAGCTGATGGTGCTCGTGTCATCGAAATGTTGTCCTAATATATGTTATTTCGCGAGAAGTAAGTTTATATTTAAGTATAATTAGGTGAGGGAGGCATGTCACCTCCACGTTTTACCAGGAACTCCCGGGCGAGCACAGGCGGGGTGCTCGGGCATGATGCTGCAGGAGCCAACTGCGCCACCTCGTTGACAAACTCCGCCTTTTGCATCACACATTTGTAGGAGGAGTGTAAGGACGTGTTGGTACAAAACAGTGAAAGCCGCATTACAGTAAGTGGTTTGTCCTGTGGAAAGGAATCCATGATGTACAACTTTACATGTATCTAATAAGCTGATTAATTATTTTAATGTACTTCCGGCGAGATCTTTCCCGCCATTTTTTTTATTAACTGCAGATGTCCGGAGCACAAACACCTCCGCCACCGGGAAACGACACTTTTATCATGAGTTACCCCAGAGCCTGCCGAGTGTCACGTCTCCGCTCAGTAGTTGCGTCACTCATTGTAATACCATGAGCAAGTCCTCGTGTGTACCAAGTTCAGGGAGGGATATCTTACTATTATTTTTTTACAATGAATTCTACAAAAAAACATAAACACGTTCATGAGTACAAACGCATCCACACACACAAACATAGACATACGCATACAGTCATAAGCGTATGTTCACAAACACACACACACACACACACACAGTCACACACACACACACACACACTTGCATTGGACCTTCCTTTATTCTGTTTAGTCTTATTGTTTCCGTCTCTTTCACTTTCGCATTTATTTATCTCCATCCTGTATAAACCTTCCTCACACACCCACGTTCACAGGTTGCAATAGATTGAAGTAATTTGGTGTTTTTTCTCGTGTTTGTGTTCCTAGGATCTGTCAGTCTGTCTGTCCGTCTGTCTCTTTCCTGTTGTTCACTTCAGTGTTTTTGTTCTTCTTGTGGGAGGGAACCGTGCTCGTCAGTGTCTCGCTAGTAAATACAAGTTAGTTACAGTCTGTTTTAAAGCATTAATTCTGCACGTCACCTCGAGAATGTAATGCTGAAAACCGCAAAAACTGCGAAAATCGTCAGAAATTTCCTCCGTGGGTGTTTGCGGCACTAAACGGCCAGACAGCCAGGAATAGACGTGCAGTTCCCGGGTGCCAATTTGGCCCGGTGGCGACAGGGGAAAACACCCGCTTCCCGTTCTCACCATCCCAATGTTTAGCGCTGTTTTCACCACAAACACGGCTTCCACATATCATTTACTGGTTGCGTATTACTCTGAAATCTTATATTGTGGTTTAAAATTAGGAATGGATCGTCTGGGAATAAAATAAGAATGAAATTCACGACAAAACACAGCAGACTTGATGCTATAAGGCCGGTGCCATGTGCCAAACAGTATGGCCACATCCCTCACTGTACCGCGCTGCACGTTTAAGGTTATTCTCTCTGATCGAAATACTTCCGGATGCTTGTTGTTTAAGAATAATTTAATAAATAACATTAAGGAGAGATAAATCTTACAACAAAATACGAGACTGAAGAGTAATCTTAAGGCATAAAAGGGAAAACAAAAATGGTAGGTGGTAACTGCGGCGCCCTTCCCTACTGGGGGTCTGGGCTGGCCCGACACATGAGGTCAGTTTGGGTCGGTACGCTGTGGAGGGAAGTACGCATCACCGCTACTACAAATTCTGGATTATTACATCTTTGTGTTTCTAACACCTGCCGCAGGTTAAACACTAGTACAAGACAAGAAAAAATATAAACAAACAATAAAGTGCCATAAATAGAAAGTATAATATATATTTAAATACTTCTTGTTTAGTTTGCTACTATTAAACTGATAGAAAAGTTTACTCATTGCTAGAGTTTTATTCAACTTGCAAATATACTGTCTACAACCCCGAGACGAGTTAAAGAAAATGTAAGACATAGACTTCCCCTGTTGTGTGAACTCCCTCTGGACACGACTTAACGACGGTACACTGGGTAAGTACCAACACTTGTTATTTATATCTAGAAGACCGCAGGATGCTGGCCACATGCTGGAACACCGGGTCCTCACACCTATATTTGTTCATCTACTGATTACTTATTTCTTGACGATTTTATTGATGTAATCATTTTTATTTTAATATATAATCGTTTGCTCTCCTAATTTATAATCAAATTTAACATGAAAAATCGTTTTAAAATTACGCTCACCAGTAAACATGTGCGTATTTTCCAAGCTGTGTACATATACAGTACCGGGTATGTATGTAACAGAAGTTGGTAATGAGGAAGACCTTGTCCTCACCATGGAGGATAATAGGGTGGTCCTCGCCTCCACCCTCTGATGTGAGGTGTTGACCCCCCCCCCGCGAGCTGTCTGTACAACGTGTGTCTCTCAGTATATTATTATTATTATTATTATTATTATTATTATTATTATTATTATTATTATTATTACTATATAGATACACAGTAGATATAGATATAGATATATATTGATTTATTGAGTAAATTCGTCATACATGTTTACAGTTGATTCGGGTATAAAATATATGAATATTATTGTTTTATAGCGTGGTGGTGTAGTATGGGTCACGGTGTATAGAGGTACTGGTGCCCGCCTCTAATATTAACACACACCGTACATGTCAACTACGTCTACCACAAACCTCTTCCTTGTTAAACCATCTTCTGGTCAACTACGTCTACCCCAAACCTCCTCCTTGTTAAACCATCTTCTGGTCAACTACGTCTACCCCAAACCTCTTCCTTGTTAAACCATTTTCTGGTCAACTACGTCTACCCCAAACCTCCTCCTTGTTAAACCATCTTCTGGTCAACTACGTCTACCACAAACCTCCTCCTTGTTAAATCATCTTCTGGTCAACTACGTCTACCACAAACCTCTTCCTTGTTAAACCATCTTCTGGTCAACTACATCTACCACAAACCTTCTCCTTGTTAAACCAGCTTCTGGTCACAAAAACCTAAAACAGATCTTGAGTGATTAAGTATATTGATTTGTTCTCACTTATTTGGAAATATGAAGTGAAAAAAGACACCCATTAATATAGACCAGTTAACTAACCTAACCTAACCTAACCTAACCTAACCTAACCGAACCTAACCTAGCACTCGGACTGACTCACCTCTCCTAGCAAGTAGCCAAGTTTGCTCTCAGTTTTTTGCCCCTTGACTAACCGAGTAATGGTAATGGTTTAATGGTATATATGGTAATGGTTTAATGGTATATATGGTAATGGTTTAATGGTATATATGGTAATGGTTTACTGGTATATATGGTAATGGTTTAATGGTATATATGGTAATGGTTTAATGGTATATATGGTAATGGTTTAATGGTATATATGGTAATGGTTTAATGGTATATATGGTAATGGTTTAATGGTATATATGGTAATGTTTTAATGGTATATATGGTAATGGTTTAATGGTGTATATGGTAATGGTTTAATGGTATATATGGTAATGGTTTAATGGTATATATGGTAATGGTTTAATGGTATATATGGTAATGGTTTAATGGTATATATGGTAATGGTTTAATGGTATATATGGTAATGGTTTAATGGTATATATGGTAATGGTTTAATGGTGTATATGGTAATGGTTTAATGGTATATATGGTTATGGTTTAATGGTATATATGGTAATGGTTTAATGGTATATATGGTAATGGTTTAATGGTATATATGGTAATGTTTTAATGGTATATATGGTAATGGTTTAATGGTGTATATGGTAATGGTTTAATGGTATATATATGGTAATGATTTAATGGTATACTCTGTATATGATAATGGTTTAATGGTATATATGGTAATGTTTATGATGGAATCTTTAGTGTAAATACATTGGAAGCCCAAATTTATTTCCTCTAAAAAATACACACACACACACACACACACACACACACACACACACACACAGTAAACAAGACTGTACGGTGTTTTTCTAGTCGTTAACACAATGATAATAATCAGTGTATCTGTGTACCGTGTTCTTACGGGAAATTAATCAGCGTAAACTAAGTCGTAATTATTATTATTGTTTGTTTTTTTAGGAATTGTCTTCATTATTTTTATTTATTCAGTTCCTCCCATTATGTACAGTAGGGGGAAAATTGCCTGGACATTTTTGACAACATTTTTACATTTACTTGAGGGTCGTGTCGGGTCAGGGGGAGTTTAACAATAATGTACTCAAATAATTGTTTCTGTTTTGTTTTTAATGGTGTTATTCTGACATAGTCAATAATAATAAATAAAGTTCACCAACCATCAATGTACAGTTATGACCGAAACAAATTCAGCAAACAGGGAGAGAGGCAAGGAGGGAGGGAGGGAGGGAGGCAGGCTGGGAGGGAGGCAGACAAGGAGGCAGACAGGGAAGAAGGGAGGTGGTGTATGGGAGGGGTAGGTGGAAAGTTGCCAACGTCTCATAACATACCGTACAGGTGTCGATTAAAACTCTGTGACTGTTCTCTCCACGCCACATACTGAGGCGGACTGTACTGTACACACACCACCCGTAGATACTGTCAAGCTTCCAGGGAATTATTAGTGTTTCATTTAAATATGTTTTGATGTCTGTTTGTGATGTCAGATTTCAACGGTAACATTATATCATGTAATTTCCAAATCTGGTTTATGTATTTGTGTCATATTGAAGACCTTTACAAAATGTGGATCTTTATTAGATTTGTCTGTGGGTAATATCTCCTTAAACAACATTATTGAACTATCAGGAAAAACTAGCCGTGAAAATGCCATCAAATTATACTCATCAAATTCTGAACTTAGGAGGAAAACGTTATATTTATATAGCATGCTTGTGAAATTATATAAATTATTCTGATATTATAGAACAATGAATGTATAATTATTATCTTAGTGACTATGAAGGTTACGGTAACAAGTTGATGATTATATGGGTGAGATTATTGATTTTCCTGAAGACTTTTATGATTATAGAGATACACGCGGGAGCCGGTTATAGGTGATATGAAATGTGGTCGTGAAAATACGATGTTGTTGGTATGACAGACAGACAGACAGACAAATAGATAGATAGATAGATAGATAGATAGATAGAGAGTAAATTCATCACATAAGTTCATATTGGTTAAGCATGAACACAGTGCAGGTATACATACAATATACATAGATAGTACAGGTATACAAACAATGATAAACAGTATTTCGACTCTACCAAGGCCAGACCAACAACGTAATCTAATGTTTATTTCCTGTGGGATTCGTCTCAGCTCCGTCAAAGAGGCACAACACTGAGGCTGTTATCGTGGTTGGTAAGATGAGAGAATTCCGATTACGGAGATGGTATAATGTATTTATAGTCGTATAATCAAAGAGTTCCGATTATAGAGTTGTTTTTGTGGTGTATAATTAAAGAGTTCCGATTATAGAGTTGTTTTTGTGGAGTATAATCAAAGAGTTCAGATTATAGAGTTGTTTTTGTGGTGTATAATCAAAGAGTTCCGATTATAGAGTTGTTTTTGTGGAGTAAAATCAAAGAGTTCAGATTATAGAGTTGTTTTTGTGGAGTATAATCAAAGAGTTCAGATTATAGAGTTGTTTTTGTGGAGTATAATCAAAGAGTTCAGATTATAGAGTTGTTTTTGTGGAGTATAATCAAAGAGTTCAGATTATAGAGTTGTTTTTGTGGAGTATAATCAAAGAGTTCAGATTATAGAGTTGTTTTTGTGGAGTATAATCAAAGAGTTCAGATTATAGAGTTCTTTTTTTAGGGCATAGTCAAAGATTTCCGATTATAGAGTTGTTTTTGTGGAGTATAATCAAAGAGTTCAGATTATAGAGTTGTTTTTGTGGAGTATAATCAAAGAGTTCAGATTATAGAGTTGTTTTTGTGGTGTATAATCAAAGAGTTCCGATTATAGAGTTGTTTTTGTGGAGTATAATCAAAGAGTTCCGTTTATAGAGTTGTTTTTGTGGAGTATAATCAAAGAGTTCAGATTATACAGATTTTTAAGGCAAAGTCGAAGAGTTCAGATTATAGAGTTCTTTTTTTAGGGCATAGTCAAAGATTTCCGATTATAGAGTTGTTTTTGTGGGGTATAATCTTTAGGCGTCGACAAAACGGGATACGATTACAAACGGATAAGTGGTAAGTGGAGGATAAAAGTTCTTCAATACTTTAGAGTAATTACCTCGTAATGACTGAATACTGACGTGTGTGTGTGTGGGGGGTGGTAGAAATAAGCAAAACAATAGAACGACGGAGGAAAAGTCCCTTCGTGTTCCTATTTAATTTCTATGCACAGATCAAAAGTCATATTTGCGCCCTGAGCTTCTCATCTGCTCGAATCGTTTGTCAAGCTTTTAATAACGTAAGGAAGATTCGCCTTCACGGAGACGGTTAAAGCATTCTCATATTCTGTTTGATTAGATTAAGGAAGTTAATGAGTTCTGGGATGTTTCTGTATTGTGCATTTTTCTCTCGCTTTATATAAATATATACACACTGTACGCTTATTGACCTTGTTCCAATAGTCTGGCAGGAATATATACACACTGTACGCTTATTGACCTTGTTCCAATAGTCTGGCAGGAATATATACACACTGTACGCTTATTGACCTTGTTCCAATAGTCTGGCAGGAATATATACACACTGTACGCTTATTGACCTTGTTGCAATAGTCTGGCAGGAATATATTCACACTGTACGTTTATTGACCTTGTTCCAATAGTCTGGCAGGAATATATACACACTGTACGCTTATTGACCTTGTTCCAATAGTCTGGCAGGAATATATACACACTGTACGCTTATTGACCTTGTTCCAATAGTCTGGCAGGAATATATATATACACACTGTACGCTTATTGACCTTGTTCCAATAGTCTGGCAGGAATATATACACACTGTACGCTTATTGACCTTGTTCCAATAGTCTGGCAGGAATATATACACACTGTACGCTTATTGACCTT